TTCAAGATCGGAGCATACTCTTGTAGAACCCCCAAAGGTGATCTAGTCAACGATGCCCAGAGCATACTTAAATTATGGAGGGAACACTTCTACAGCCTGCTGAATGGCAGTGAACGCACAACGCCAGGAGAAGGCGTTGGACGACGATGGAGCAGACGTTCCATTGCCCGACCAGGAAAAAGTTCGAATAGCAATTACCCGCCTGAAGAACAACAAAGCTGCGGGGCCGATGGATTGCCGGCCGAGCTATTCGAACACGGAGGCGAAGAACTGATAAGGAGCACGCATCAGCTTCTTTGTAAAATATGGTCGGACGAAAGCATGCCCAACGATTGGAATTTAAGTGTGCTGTGTGTGCAGACCTCCACTCCGTTGGAAGGACCAAGTGGAGAAGGACCTGGCTTCACTTGGAATATCCAATTATCGCCACGTAGCGAAAAGAAGAAACGACTGGCGCGCTGTTGTTAACTCGCCTATAATCGCGTAAGCGGTGTCTACGCCAGTCCAGAAGAAGAAGCAATGGGTGTTCCCGTGCCCTTTTATATTTCGATATAGGATTTTTGCAATCTGCAATTTTGCAAGGGCAACAGAATCCCCTTAATGTATTTAGTATTGTAAATTATACAAAGTATAACAATATTAACTATATATGAACCATATATACTTTACCAAATAAATAATGATAATATAGTAAATAACATACATACATTTTGCCAAAAAATTTATTGTACGAAGGAAAATTAAATTTGCAATCGTATATATAAATATTAATATTTAAAAGCTAAACCTAAATAATTTCTGAAAATTTGTAAAAATAGATAAGAAAAATTCAACTGTTTGTATGAACATATATACATGTAGTTGTGCAGCTATCTCAATAACCGTGTCTTAAGGACGTGTGTATAACAGAATTCTGCTATTACAACAACAACAACAACGTGTGTATTTTAATATTTGACAGATGTCGTTTGAAGTCTGTCGCTCTCTATGTGTTCAGAGCATTACGCAGCGTCTTCTCTAGCAATAGACATCGCAACCTATATGTCAACTAAATTGCCATTGCGGTTGGCAATGTTGCTTTAAGGGCATTTGATATTATAAAATAATAATTCTTATAATGGCGTCGGGTGAATGTGATCGGGCTGATGTAGCCCATGCTTGAGGTCTTGAATCGTTAAAAAAGTTTGTGATGATCGCATACGATTAGGTAAAAGATGAAAAAAAGTATAAATATACATTTTAGACAAATATGTTTTCTGGAAAACAAATATGCCAAATAAATATATAAATATGAAAATTAAATTTAGCATGATGTTTATAATATATAATATTTTAACATCATTTACTAAACATTGTCATGTGTTGAATACAATGCTCGCGACAGACTGCAAACGACATCTGTCAAATATTACATTACACACGTTCTTATGATCGGACCTATTTTGATAGCTGCACGACTACACGACGGCWGGCSGACAGTTGTCGYTCTCGCTAACTTCAATTTTATCCTATATTTGCCAACGACAGTAGGACGRCAGTAGAGTTGACAGTAGAATGGAAGACAGAGAGATGAGGTAGAGTGGGATGCCACTAATATGTAAAATGTAAAATTACTCAAAGCTCTAACAACAATTTACAAATAAAAGCATAAAATAGCTCTGTTACATCATTTATAATAACAGTTGATAATTTAAAACAAATAAATTTACCTATTTACTTATTTTTTGCTTAAAAATTTCACTTTGAACAAAATATTAAAATTTCATTGAAGTGCAAGGTATTAGTATGGCCACAACGGAATTTTGTACATGCAAAATGAAGAACTGAGTTGTTTTGTGTACATGCCGGCCATTCTTATGTTGCTGCCCTCTCACAAACGTTCATGTAGTAGGATTCACAACGCCGTTTTCAGTTCACTGTCGTGCTGCTGCAGTCTGTCGCGAGCATTGTGTTCCGCGCATCAGAGTGCTGTCGCCATGGACAATATAGCTAGCAATACTGATTTCGAGCAATCTTAAATAGACTGCCGATATCCCTGTTATAAACAGAGGAAGTAATGGTTGCCACACTTAATATATCCTTACGCTATGGGTCTATTTTGTTTAATTTTTGGTTTAAAATCTAAATTTTCTTAATTAATAGGTTTTTCTAAATATTTGTAATTTATTATTGAAGGAAAATTTATATGTGCTAAAAAGGGATGGGCGTGTGAAGTCAAACACACATGTTTTTTCATTACTTTTTCGGTCATGGCTGCCATATTGTATGTTTGTAAGTTATGATCAGTTGTATTTGTGAAACCAGCTTGAACGGTTGTTTTTAGTTGTGTATAAGTACTTAGAGCGCATCTAGCTGTATTTGTATGGTGCGTTTGTTCTAATAGATTAATTTGCCACTTTTTTAAGTACGTTTTTCGACTCTTTAATTTATTCAAACAAAGGAGGAGAAATACGTACTATTATATATTTATGCTGTTGAAATACTTAAACAGTGTACAAATCATAAGTTGGAGTGGGTTGTATCGAAAATATGTGAAACCTTAAAGAGTACTATTAGTGCGTGTTGAATATAATTTGATACGAAAAAAAATTATGCTATTTAGGCAAAGATACAAGTGGATGTAAATTGGTGAAATGTTTTTTGTCTGAAGAAAGTCGATTTCTGTGTTTTGGAGAAGTCAGTAATGAAGAAAAAATTGTGTTTTTATATGTAAAAATTATTTGTTCAAGAAAAGAGTGTACATAAAAAAGCAAAGAATGGACGATAAGATGTAACATAAAAAACCAATCAAACCAAAAGGGTTTATGTATACTGGTTAAGTGAATGCGATAGCGTTTTGTATATGCATGCGCGAGTGGGATAGCAAACAACACTCGGCAAATACCACAAAACTGGAAGGAGCAGTTAAAGCAAAGGCGATGCAGTCATATTATGTATAAATATTAATTATCATATTATGTATAATCTTTGAAAGTAAGTTTAATTGTTGGGATATTGCAATACAATATAATTTATATTTCTGAGTAACAAGAAGTATTTTTTTTTATATTTTTTTTTAATCTTTCAAAATGTTTTATTTGTTAATAGCGGCGATTTCAATTTCAACGTTAGCTTGAGTGGCCACGTATTTGAGTGAAGTTTTGTGGGCAATGGACTATAGAAATATTTTAATTTCTATAACGAAATAATTTAGTATAAGCGTTCCTTCGTATTTAATTTACGTTTAACGAACTTTCTTAACTAAGCAAATATATGAATTTCCTAAGCATGCAATGAGTGTTAAAAAAGGTTTGATATCGTGTGCTGCCAATTGGTATGGGGACTAAAATATAATCAGTGCTGCTAGCAAATGACTGCAGCAATATTCTTTTAACGGATAATTGTATTAAGATATTTGAGTAGGTTATACTGGTAACAGTGATTGGTTATATTAATTTGCGGCGAAAATTACTAAATCGTTCTCCTGTCTGGCACAGTCATACACATATACACATTATCTACTATGGCATCGGTATATTGTATACCAATTTTTTGCGTATAGATACATACTAAGTACATTACGTTATAGACGCGGTCGATGTTGCAATCAAAGCCAACAGAATTTACAGCAAGAAGTGTCAAATATTATAACTTAGTAATTACATCTTTAACGTCGCATTATGCACTAATAAGGGAATATATTAATTATAATGTGTACATATTGCGGTCACAAAGTTATTTTTTTAAATCTAATTCAATAAAGAACTAGTCCCGCAAAAATTTTGTAGAATGCACAACGTTTGGAAAAAATGACTAAATAAAGGGCGTAGAGGGTTCTTACACATCAAAAAACTAAGAACAATCGACTAGGTAACAAATTTTTAAATATATATATTTTTTTATATTGTTTTCTATACTTCTATTTAATAATGTTTATTAATTTCGTTTTATGCACCGAAACATGTGTTACTTTTCACTTTTGGTGTTGTCCATTCTGTTCACATATACGTCACTCGACTTCCTGGCATCTTTCTGCGATGCTTCGTTTACGCGGTACAAAAAAGTATATTTGGGGTAAAATTTAGAATAATATCCTTGGATTTTGGGGATAAAATGGGTATCTCTGGAAAGGTGACGTTCTCCAGATCACGAAAATATGTATATATATATATATATATATAATTGCCGTTGACTTATAGTTTCAAAGATTATCAATGTAAAAGTTGTCAATTTTTCAACTTTAATTGCAAATATTTTTAAAACTATAAGTCAGCGGCAACTATATATGTATATATATTTTCGAGATATGGAGAACGTCACCTTTCCAGTAATACCAATGTTATCCCCGAAATCCGGGGATGCTATTCTAAATTTTAAACCATAGCGGTTTCTTATTTCTTTAAGTGCGGTCGAAGGCCACAGTAAAAAACACGAATTTCGGTAAAAGTGAGATAATTCAAAAATTGGCACAATTCCGATGCCTTTGGCCCTGTGATCTGAAGGTACCTTTTTAAAAAGGAAGTACTCTTGATTAAAAAATATCCTATCCCATTTTTTGTTAATTTTTATTCGTTTGATAAATGTGTAGATATGGCAATAGATATTATTTGACAACACGGAACACTTATGTTACTGTGCATGTAATGAAATTTGAATAAAATGTTTTTTTTTTAAGTAAATATCTAAAAAATTAATATAAAATAAATATGTAGAAACAATGTCCTGAAGTGTAAGCGTATAAAAAGTGCATGATATGAAAGAAAACGTTACTATAAATCGAGAAATTGCAAAATAAAATTTGCGAAATTTTTATCTTTAAATGCAAATATCTCGAAAACTATAAGTATAAGTTCTGGAGCATCAGCTCCATCTAATCATACTACTTCTAACTCTGATATCGTGGGATGTTATACTAAAGCCGGCCCCTTAATTTAAAAAAAAAATATAAGAGATTTTAATTCACTTCAAAACAGAATACATATATATTATCTAACTTTTAGCATAAAAAATATGGCGTATATTCGCTTACCACATCCTAAATGTTGTGCTTATATAATTAAGTCACCTGGTTATTCGGAGTATACGACATTTTTTTGGAAATTATACTGTACACAAAATCTAATATTTAGTTCGGCATTGTTTGGGCATAACACAACCTTTTCCTCATGCGATATATAAGAGTTGTAACATGAAAACAATATACGTTATTTTAATATTGTATAAAAGTACTGCATGACTTGTTTGATTGATTGTCGTTTCGTTTAAGTCGTTCGTGAGTTATTGCGTCGCAAACATGGAGCAAAATAAAGAGAAAACACAGCATATTTTACAGTACCACTACGATAAAGGCAAAAATGCATCTCAAGCCGCCAATAAAATTTGTGCAGTTTATGGACCCGATACAGTTTCCATTTCCCCCCCGGTGGTCGAAGATGCGCCACGCTCCGGAAGACCTGTCGTCGAAAAT